GTGTGAAATTATTATTAATACGATTAAAAAAATATTTATATTTATAAATTAATATCTAGGTAGCATGTTATATTCACACATTTATTTTCTTTATTTTTTATTTTTAAAATCCATTTATTTATATTGCGTAAATTTATAAGACAAAAAGTTCTTTAATGTATAAAAGAAAATAATGGTTATCACAATTGTTACTAAAAAAAAAGAAAGAAAAAAAGTATTTTGACAAATTTTAACATTTCATTATCTCAAGATACTGCACAAGAGTATGTATATGTACGTTCTTTCATTCAATTATTTTGTTTTTATAATTCTAATTTACATTTTTGTTTAAATCCAGATCAACATCAAAATTATTAATCTTCTTTATTGAAAAAAAAGTAAAAAAATAAATAAATAAATAAAAAATAGATAAATAAATAAAGAACAGCATAAATATACATGTACAGTATGTCCAATCGTAAACTACTATGGTATTATTTTGATTTATCTTTTACAAAAAAATAATGTAAAGCTTGATTTACCTTGTTTTTTTTTTAAATTATTTTTAACTGAAATAAAAAGAAAAAAAACAACGCGCGATTTACATGTACATTATTGAACGAACTAACTATCGGTAGTAAATAAGCAATATAATAAATCGTACAGTATCGTATTCTTATAAATAGCGTAACTTGAAATGATAAAGCGTATTTAAGATGTTTAGCGATTTTTTTTTTCTCTGATGATGGGTCCCGTTAACTGCTTATTGTGGTCATGATATTTTTATACCAATACATCAGAAATGTACATTTTTACAAAAAAAAAATATTAATTCCCAATACTTACATAAATAATTAGTAGACAAATGTACACGACATGATAGTCGGGGTTACTTTTTATCCCTGATACTTATTATTATTTTAATTTCTGCAGATGAATGAATTTAAAAAAATGATGATTTTTGAATTCATAAATGGAAAGATGAATATAAGTATTCATTCATTATTTAGGCCACTTTAAAAAATTTTTTACCCCCATACTGCATATTATAAAATCCAATAGAATCAAAACTCACAGTCAACCTATATCATATGATAGAATATGCTGCATTCGATCATAAATTACATTTTTACGTATCAAAAGGATTAAAAAAATTCTAAGTCGGAGAATTACATTAATAATTATTTGTAATCTAAAATACCTATTAAATCTTATTTACATGTAGTTTCAAAAATATTTTTTTCTATAATTTTTTTTTTCCAGTTATCCAGAGTCGATTAATTGCAGCAGTAAATATTTTTAATCTAAAATATCTATTAATAAGTTTTTTTTTTTTTTTTTTTTTTTTTTTTTTTTTTTTTTTTTTTTTTAAATATCCACTCCTAAATATTTTTAACTATTTTTTGTAAAACGTGATCGTTCGTGTATGTTGTCAACAATAACATTGCAGCCACTGCACATGCACTTGTAACGATCGCGTCAAAAACAACAATGATCGATTTCACTGCTGTATTTGGAATAAACAAGGGGCGGAGCTTACTGGCGGCAAGATTAAAGCGGGGTCCGCTTCGCGCATGAGTGCGTAAAGCGAACCCAGAAAGCGAACGCTGGGTTCGCTCTAGTGGACCCAGAGCTGACCCCGAGCGAACGCAGAGCGAACCCGAAGCGAACCCAGAGCGCACCCAAAATTTCTGAAAGCGGACCCGTAGCGGACCCCGAGCGAACCCAGAAAGCGAACCCGGGGTGCGCTTTGGGTTCGCTCTGGTGTTAGGTTGTGTTTGGTCGGTACTGTATGTCTTGGGCTTTTAAAGATGCATGTAAAGAGTGTTTATCAGCTTTAAATTTTCAAAAAAATAATGCGGGTATCTTTTCTGAACCTTCTAATTTCATATACAATTTCAGAAATAATGATTTAAAACAAAGTACATGCAACGGGGTCAAAAGAATAAATTTGCAATCGGAACTATACTGTATCGAAAACTACCCCCATTCACTTTGTCTCGTTAAATTATTTTTACAGAGAGAGAGAGAGAGAGAGAGAGAGAGAGAGAGAGAGAGAGAGAGAGAGAGAGAGAGAGATTGTGCAATAATAGAAAAATGTCAAGAATGATCAATAAAGAAAACGAGTAGTATTCAAGCTCAAGGTCCATGAAAACAATAAAAATCGGGAGCAAATCAAAAACGGACCTCCGAAAACATTAGAGGTGGGATCAGGTACCATGGAAGAATGAGCATCCCCTGCCGACCGGTCACACACGCCGTGTGCTCTTTGTCCTGATCGGGATATAACGGAAAAATCCGTCGACAACTCAATGTGTAAATAATGGCCTAACACTTAGTATGAAAAAGTCAGTCAGCATATAACTTAATGATAGATTGTATTTGCTGACAAGGTCATTCTATCGACCATAGATCTTACGAAATGATAACTTTAAACGAGACTATTGATACTCTTTTTTAATCAACTGGTTTGTCAATAACCTACCTCGTTTTAGCAATTATTTATACGTAAGTCATGCTCTTGCGTATTGAATCAACTGAAAGATATTCATCCCATATTCAGGTGAAAAGTGTATATTGCTGCATAAGTAAAGGAAGTTGACAATTGAAAACTTAAAGTCATCACGTTCATCATGACGCTTTGTTCTTAGATTACCATTAACGTTTTTATTCAAATAAAATACTGTATGTGTAGTTAAAAAAAGAGGGCTTCATATTTTAGCGGCTTTGGCGCACACAGCGATGCGCTTATTCATGATTATCGCTACATGTAATAAATGAATATGACATGATGTTTCTCATTTGCTTGCTTCGGTCTGCCATTTTTTCAGGTCTCGAACACTGAGCCCGATTTAGTCGTTATCTATTTCACTATGTAATGGAATTTTTATTTTTTAGCGCTACATGTGTAGCGCTAATTCATAACCACTCCATATCAGGTGATTGCGCTAAATTTTGAATACGTTAATTTATGTACACATACAGTATCCAAATATGAAACTGATGTGCTAGGCTCTGTGGTATTTTTTATTTCAAGCACATTGTGATATATCGTGTCGAAATATGAATGGAAATGACTATTGTTGAACGATAATACGTCAATGATTAATTTAAATGTCTAGTTGAAGGTCACAGCGAGAGTTTTCTTTTTCTCCTGTATAAGATTTTGAATCAATTCTGCTTCATATGAATAAAAAAAATAGGCCAGCTAACAACGGGGCGCAACTGGTACCCTTGGGAATTCCAACAGATTGTTGGAAGACCTAATCTCCAAATCCCCATTGTTAATGAGAAACCCCAGCATCATTTTAATATCAACTTCAGGGTACTTTTGGTGCAATCGGAATTTTTTTTTTTTTACAAAATTATCTTGCAAATGACCAACGACAAAGTAAGTATATTTAGAGTTCCATTTTTATTGAAAAAGCAGCTGTCAATTATGTCAAAGAGCCTCGACTTTAATTTATTCTTTGGAATCGATGTATACATAGTTGAAAAGTTTTTTTATGTTATTGGTTTTGGTAAAATTTTGTGATTTTATTAATTTTTTTTTTAAAGTTTCTTGGAATTATTTCGTATCTGCATCTATTTACACCATATCTCGAATATATAAAATCCTCATTATCTACTGTATTTTGGTACCAGTAATAACGTGCCCGGCCAGCAGGAATATAGTTGTTGGGTGAAGAAGAACATGAACAGGATGAAGGATTATGTTGCAGATCTTCAATATCCAGACGCTATAAAGTGTTTTTTTTTTTTTTAATTATTAAAATGTTTGGAAGCAATACTCGATGTATTTCTATAGGAAATACAGGGTGTAGTCTTCAATTGAAAATATGGTTGAATTCAAGACTGGACCCTTTTGTGATTAAGAGTATAACTGCGTCAATTCCTTTCTTGGCATATTGAAGTTTAAGGGGAAAAAAACGGGTAGTTTAGCTGTATTTTCTTCCGTAAAACGCGATGGCTTAAAAAGCCCACGATTTGCAATATCCATTACCACCGATATGAGCTTGAATATTGGTGTAGGGGAATCCGAATATGGACTTTTCTTGACTTTTACAAATTGACTATTGAAAACTTTCAAAGGGACAGAGTAAAGTTTGGTGCGAATGTGAGGAAAGCCTAATTGCTTATTTACATAAGGTAGTAGTGAGTCAAAGGAAATATCGTGAATAATAATGCAAGACCGATGTTCATGACTACGTTATCGTATCTTTGTACTGTTAAAACTTAGTGCTGCACTGTGGGCTTGAAAAATTTCCAACAATATCGACATAGTCATTGCTACCATATGGAAAGGCCGTGCCTAGTTTTCTTATCCAGTATTCTTCGCGTTGTCTACGGTAAGGCGTACTCAAGGATGGGATATTAGTATGATGGTAAATCTTTTCTAGAATTCTTTCATTGACAGAATAGAATGATCAGGTAAATTAAAATGCTGGTATACAAGCTGCTGGTCCCCGTTGTAAATTTGAAATCTATGCCCCGATATTCTTCTATTGAGAGAACCCTTGGTTTCACCAACATATATAAGCTTACAAAGGGTACATTCTATTCTGTAGACACCATTAAAAGATTTGCAATTAAGATTTTCCTAAGTTTTGGCATAGAAGCTCTGTCCAGTAAGATTAACAGAAAATGAAAAACTAGTTATCAAAGTGTCACAGGTTTTATTGTTTTTGACAAAACACATAGATATAGAACATTTGCAATCGGAAAAGGAATCATCAAATACATCTCTAAAAGAAACTTTACATTTGTTCATTTTTTTTTTTTTTTTTTTTTTGTAAGAACTGTTGGTTCTATATCAAAACTGGGAATCTGAAGATTTTACATAAGACACATGCTTGATATCCCTGAGAATAATCCGAGGGACACCAATTGAAGTCTTAGAATCTCCGTCCCTTATAGACTCAAAAGATTGACGCCTTTTTATACTGGTCGACGTGTCTGCCAGTATCCTTTTGTTATGCTGAATATAAAATATTCATTACAAAACAAAAACAAACGAGTCATTTACATATTAATTGTTGTTTATTAGTAATAAAGAACAAGTGAAGACAATTATTAATTTCTTTCTTTGAAAGGTATCCTTTGATGGCTAATGTGTGTCCTTTATCCACAGTAGCAGGTACCTATAATGAAAATTCAAGAAATGGTTTACGTTTAAAAAAGTGATCTCTGTTTGTAATATCATTTTAATTATGATATGCATTACTAGCGTAAGCAATTTTTCGTCAATAATTCAACATAATGATTTTTCAGTCAAGTCCTAGAAAGTTAACGATGCCTACAGATTCCTCAAATAGCAAGAGCCAAGAATCATCAAAAATTACTCTGTTTCAAAAAGTAACGGGCTTTTGTCAATTAATAGTGCAGACTTTTAGCTTATTTTCCCTGTTTTTAATTTTTCAATATCTATTATATTTTTGAGAAAAAGAGATTTTGAAGCATGAGGGTGTTTTGAAAGAAAAATTATACTAGAACGTCATTATTTTTGTAACGTAGCGTCGTAGTGCATTAAAATTACCTTGAGCGGTTTAACATATGTTACTTTGAATTAAAATGGTTACTAATTTGGATAGACATTTATCATAATAATAAACTTCCCAATTAATTAAAGACAATTAAGAGCAGTTGGAAATTGATTTCACATCCCAGTCTTCTTGGCAACTGCGTGTTTAACTGATTGCAGTTCATAAATACATGTACAGTAAAAAATAGTCTGCCTGTTTGTCTTAGAACTTTTTCACTTTACCTGGTCATTATTTTAAAATAATTTTAAAGATGGAACATTGTATTTCTCTCCCTTGAACACACTTTTGGTTTTGGATCTGCATCTCTCCTTTACCTTGATTTTGAGAATTTCAGCACGAGCAATAAAAATGCTTGCTTTCAGTCATTTTGAGGAAATATTGGCATCACATTGGGAAAAGAAAGTATGATTTTTGTTTGGAATATTAGTACACTACTTATGATTAACAGCTACAAACCTTTGAAAACCCAAATTATTGTCAAATGTTTTATTAAACCTGCAATTGTTTACTTTTGTAATTTGCCGAATTAACAAACGTGTATATTTTACATTTATAATTTTCGAGAAGGAATTATTATAAAAACAATATTTAACCTATACAAGCAATTTATCGATTGGAGTCTTAATTGTTGCTTAAAGGTGGTTTAGTGGTAGCTTAATGGAGTTTGAACATTAAGTATCTATAAGTCTGACTCAAAGGTGGCTTAATGGTGCCTTAAAGGTTGTTTAGATGCTATCATTAAGCACCTAAAAGTCACCATTAATCTATCTTTAAGCACCCATTTAGGACTTTGAGATGGCAAAATGGTTACTTAATGATGGTGTATTTATTACTTAAAGATAGCTTAAAGGTGCTTAATGCTGACTTAAAGACGACCATAAGCCACCATTAAGCCAATCTTAAAGGAAGTGTTTCATCTTGTGATGTATCAAAATTACTTCAAGTCTCTAAGTAAACGATTATTTATCTTATCTTTTTATTTCCCCTAAACGATGTCAAATTTAATATAGCTAACGGGATAACTACTGAAATTATATCATATTGACTTTGTATAGAAAACATATTATTTTCAAAGTAATTCAAATTAATTCAGGAAGTTCATGAAAAATCTAGTTTAAATTTATTTTGATTTTGAATTTATTATGACGTAACACTGGATTTAAGATAAAAAAGAAAAACTCATCTACTTATATCACACTAAAAATATTTCTTATATATGGAGAAGATAAAACATACTTTAACTTTAAACCTGATTAATTAATCTCCTCTCTCTTTCTCTCTCTCTCTCTCTCTCTCTCTCTCTCTCTCTCTCTCTCTCTGTGTGTGTGTGTGTGTGTGTAAGGGTGTGTGAGGGTATGTGTGTTTATTATATACGTGCAGTAAATATTCCGTCAAAAATCTTTAAAAAATTACCATGATTATATTTTGAATTCCTTATTCTGTCGAAATCAGAATCCTGGTACACCATTTAAAGCAACGGAAAAGAAACCGATGATTCCGACAACAGAACCGTTGGAAACCGTGTCTTTCTGATACCGTACCCTCCACTCCTGTCATATGTGCTTCCATGACTATGAGCACAAAAGTCAGGGCGATCAAAATGACGAATTGCATCAGCTTCATCTGAATAAATGAAAGAAAGAATGATATGTTGAGAATAGAAATTGAAGCATATAGGATCAATGAAATATTATACAGGCATTTGAATTGAGAATAACACTTATCCAACAACAGAGGCTATAATATAATGCATTGATAAATCGTAAGAAGTCCCCATGACAAAAATGTAAGGCGGTTGGATTTTCTGCTTTGTACAAACAAAAGAAAATGGCTAATCTGACTATCTAGAAAATGAGAAAAAAATATCAAGGAACAAATAGAGAATGAAATCTATTGCTATGGAAAAAAAATATTGTAAAGCTTGTTCAAACAATACTTTTAATTCCTAATTGTGCAAATTAAATCTCGGTTTCAGTTAAATAAAAAACAGATGTATTACAAAAATAAATAATAAATGTATTTACTAAAATAAATAAATCTTCATTTTTTCGTCATTGGCCTAAAATGTGTGATTTTCCTTAAAAGACTTGACACAGAGGTGAAGGTCGTTGGGCAATATAAATGCATATTTCTTTTCCTAAACTTATCCTATTTACTACTCATGTTGTTAATCTTCACGTTAAAAAAACAGAAAGAATTAGAAATAGATACAAGTAAGCAGACAATTTTTTTTATATTTGGATGTTTTAGAATCCTTAGTAAGAGACCCTGATGACAAACTAACAAGTATTTTTTTAAGGATAATGGATTATATGGTCACTTTGATTACCATTTTTGCAAATATATCGTTTCTTTGACGTCGAATGTTTAATTTGTACATAATTTAATTCACAATATAGTAATTGGGATGGACAGCAGGCAAGGTCTAATTTTGCCTTCTCCCTACAACAGGGTCAAGGTAAATACATACTTTACAAGTAAAATACTAATTAAACAAACATTGTAGCCAAAAAAAAAAAAAAAAAAAAAAAAAAAAACCGAAGGAGAATGACGATGAAGTACCGGTTTAGAAATATTGACAAAAGTTACATACATGTATTGTATGTAAGTATGTACTGCTTCAAATATTTGAATATTAATACTGAATCCATGATCAGGACTACCATAAAATAATAATTCATGTTCAGAAATCTGATCACAAGCAATAATATTTTTAATTGTTTGGAAAAGTACATCTTGGGGAGATGTATATTTTGGACAATGCTGAATGTTCATTGGCCTTCATAAATGGAAATCCTAACATTCGTCATACCTTATTTTTATATAGATTTATCTCTGCGTTTACAGTATCAAACCAGAGAACTTTCGGAGGATGTGACTGATAAATATTTTGATGCCTACTTCTCAATGGAACCTGATCCCAACCCTGATGCTTTTCAAATGTTCGTTTTGCTTTGTTTGATCTGTATATGTATTTATTGAATGGAATTAATGTTCGTAATGTTCATCTTAAATATCTTCTTTAAACATTTGAGCCGTCCCATGCGAAAAGGGCCCTTAAGGTGAAAATTTTCAAAATTGACTTTTCAATGGATTATGATAGACTATAGTGTAAAATAACAAAATATAAAGTTTGATTCAAATATTCAGAATAATTACTGAGATATAGGGAATCAAAGGTTAAGAATATGTTAAAACTACCTTGTAAAATGACGTTGAAAAAAGACGTTCAAACTGACGCTTTTATATCCCTCTCAGAAATATTAATATTTGAAATACGTATATGATTGAAAATTCCTTACTTTATCACACGAAAACATACATGAAAAATTTATGCATAAAACCTTTGCTTTTATTCTACTTGCAACATTTGATATAATTGTTTTTGTCAAAGTATACCTAAATGATACACTAGTTGTCGAAACTGTTTCATTGTTATTAGTTAAATTTTATAAAAGAAGAGGTGTTTTGGACTCTGAGTTACATGTACATTTTAAGAGTGTCGACATTAAATGTTCATTTTGGTCATTTGTAGCACATATGATTTAAACAATCCGATAAAAAATTGTTTATGTAAGTTTTCTCAAATTAAACACAGATATTGGTTTTATATCGGTAAATACCCGTTTTGCTTTTTTTTCTTTTTAATAATAACGTTATACACTCACAACGTCATGTTAGACGTGAATAATACTCTGATATACGGTTCAGAGAAAAGTAAATATTAAATAAAAAACAAATAAATAAAAGATATGTGTTTAGATATTTTAAAGACTTGTATTTTATTTACTTGTAGTTTGTGAAAAATATTTTTATTTAAAAAAAAAAGAAAAGAAAAAAAAGAATCCGTAAGATAAGACTGATAACATTGCATCTTCCTTGTAATTATAACTAGATTTCATTATTTTAAGAATGACTCTAATTCTTGGCCAAATTATTCGAGTATAACCTGGTTTGGGTCAGTTTACGCTTTATAATCCGCTCAATAATACAACCCTAGTAGCGGGTGATGGGAAGCGAGGGGATGTAAAAACTGATACATAGTCCTAGCAGCCATGTTGTTTGTTTACATGTGGTAAGATCCAAGTTACTGTTTGAAGTTAAAGGTGCATTCATTAAATCTGGAATTTTCCATGAATCCCGAGGACTGGAAATGAGAGGATTGCATGGATACAGACGATTCAGCTGGTTGTCGGGGGGGGGGGGGGTGTCCCAATACCAAACCAGGTTATACAGAAATAATTTGTGTTCCTTTTTGGATATTAACCAATCAGAGGCTAGAATACAAACAAAATCAAATTATTTGATAATTTTTCATCATAAGAATATAATTTTTGTTGTTTTATGCATGTCCTAGATGAATTTATGAAAGAAAACTTGAAGGGCGGATACAGAAAATTGATCGGCAAGAGGAAGGGGGGGGGGAGGATCTACAGTAACAGAATCCAGTTAAAATTTTCTGACAAGTTAAAAGAATGAAGTTTAAGGATGTTTTCTGACATATTAAATGAAGTTTGAGGAAGTGGTAGGGGGAATATGTACCTACAATACTGAACATACATGTATGAATTGTCCTACATTCGTAAATATTGACACAGGCAATAATACGTGCCGAGGCAATCTCTTACCCCTTTTACATGGGTAATGTATCTTTCTTACGATATTGATATCAAAATTTTCCGGGGAAAACAATTCTCATCTACCTACCGACCCAATTTTTTCGTCATGAGTCGGGAGCTCGAGAGGGCATACAAACACTATTTTAAAGTTGGCCATATTCCCTGCAATATTGGCGTAAACCGTCACGGTATTTGCACCGCCTATTTGCTCTGTACCGACTTATAAGCAGACCAATATTCGTATGTCTTGCAGTGAACATGTAATCTTACAAAAACTGAGGATGAGGATTTAATTTTCATATTATCATCATATCTTTACAAGGTCATTATAAGTTGAGAATATATTTTGAAGTTGTTTTTTTTATGTCACATTGATTCGTCATGTAACCCCCCCCCCCCCTTTTTCGCTAAATTTCGTTTGAAGAAAAACAAATCAAAAGCTTATACCTACATATTCTTCCATTCATTTTGTGGTTCTCAAATTTTGTGGACGTATCATCGCTTAGTTTGGGTCTAATAAGATATGTCGTTGATCGAGAAAGAGGGAATGTTGGCAGTGAAATGAGTGGCGCTGTGGGCCGGAAGTAGTAGTGCCTTATTCCTAGGACTCTTTCCGAAATCACATACATGTATTATAAATCTAAAATAACGAGTTAATCAGTTTCCAAGTTTATTAAAGCTTTTATCAATGGACAACAATTTTAACATTTAAGAAATATATGCGGGGACACAGACGGAAGTGGCCAGTAATGCGTCGGGCCTCTGAACTGACACATACAATTCAGATACTGGTATATAACAGAATTCTTTGACAACAATTAGCGAATTAAGTGATAAAATGACATGTGTTGAGTAAATTACATAGTCTGTGAAAAGCTTAGATAAGATGCATGGACATGAAAGAAGATTAAATCAAATAATTACTTGATTTTTTTTTATATAAAGGGCATTAAAAAGTGTTGAGGACAATTTACACCCTGTCCCTTTATAGTTCACAACCGTTATCCAGAAAGTGTCACTAATAATTAAGTAATTTGTAGTCAAGGAATAAATAAAGATTTGTAATTAAATTGATAAAAAGAGTAAATGTTTTTAAATAATATTCAAACCAAGATTTATTTCAAGAGTCAATTTTGCACGTTGATAGAGGTATTTATCTCAGATTTAAAATGAAATCAAATTTTCTTCGCTGACACTAACAACCGTTTCAGGCTCACAAAATTTTGACATGTTGTACTAGTGTCTATGAAACGCCCCTTGACCTTAGGTTTGATTTTGTACGCATTGGACATTCTTGTATCTATCTACTGAGTAACCTCTGTTGGTATCGCCGACATTGCTGAGCACTGCCATTTTAGCTCAATTTTCTTTTGTCCAAAAGGGATTAACCCCTTATTACCGAAATACATTTGTTCTTCCTTTGTTTTGTTTTTTGATTTTTTGTTTATTTTTAACTTGTCATTTTAAGCCCCCCCCCCTTTTCCCTGTAAAACGTTGTTACATACATGCCTAAAGAAATGGCCAAATATGATTCATTTATAAAAATAAGCAGTCATTCTTTCCAATTAAAACAATTCAAAGATTAAACTGAACTTATTGCAAACTTTCCTACACAAAAATGACCCGGTATTTATTTTCATAACCTTTAATGCAAACAAACACTTCATCTTTGTACTAAGAAATTAAAATAATAATCAGATGCAATATTACAGGGAAATAAATCTGTATTCAATCTTTCAGATTTAATTTCCCCGTAATTTGGGGGGTTTTATACATAATAAAGCATTATTTACTAGGAATTAAATAAAGGCATGTTGTATTGGGGGGGGGGGGGGTCTATACATAATTTTTCAATGGTAATTGATTGATATAAAATGAAGATGTTCACTGAATGGCTAATTGCACCCACCTCTAACAACCCCACCCCCATTTTTTGTAGCAAAGTCAAATATTCCCATATTAATGCATTTTTAAAACAAATCCTGGTCATTTTTTTTTTCGTTGCAGCATTTACTGTTTTCTCATATTTTTTTTTTTTTTTTTTAACGGCTGGCCCAAGACTTCAACAAATTATACGAGATTTTATTCTCAAATTTCAAGAAATATAATTATATCTTAGGAAACACATTAGTCTCGTTCAACCAGAAGCTAGGCTGTCTCCGTAAACAGTAAACCGACGGTTCTATACTTGAATGAAACAACAAACACATTGACCCGTAAATGACCGTGACGAACGCAAATCGTCATTTATCGCGTTTATAAACACAAAGAAAATATTGTTTTGAAAAAAAAAAAAAAAAAAAAAAACAGATGTTTTCTTCTTTAAATTTATGCTTTACGAAGAATCAACCTTAAAAAAATTCGTCATTTGCTACATGTAGAGCTGAACAAAATCTTAATCGCATATATAAACCTATATGTTGGGAACGGTTAAGATTTTTCTTTTTATTTATTGTAAAGTATTTCACTTCGGTTAATATGAATTTATGTTAAAAAGGATGTGTACATGTAGAGGTATATATCAATTAATATGTGCATGTACGATCGCCTTCAATGCATGAACAATATCGGATAAAAAAAAAATAAAAAAAAACTAGCACCTAATTATATCAGCAAAATTTAATATTCAATATTGGAAATGTCCATTTATATGGAACTTAGCTCTTAAAATTCATATTTTCTTTTTTTTTTTCCTGATATTGTATTGGCTCTAGATGATATAAACAACAATGAAAATAAGTTGACAGAGCTCAGGTAAAAATGTTGCAAAAATATATAACATACGCAACTTGCATTTTATGACGTTATCTTTACCGGCGTATTTCTCATTATGACGTCAAAATACATAAGGGCCCTTTTCGCATGGGACGGCTCATTTGTTTTTATCCAAACCATACTTTGAAAAAAAAAAGGTATGTTTTCTTGCAGGCAATAGAGAAAAAAGTGTTTTACCGCTTGAGAAAATAATTTCAAGTTTGACTTTGATTTTTTTTTTTCAAATAAATGTAATTTAAATATAACATTGTTATCCAACATTTGCCTAATGGTATGTATAGATGTTGACGACTTGTATCATTTAAATGAGAATGGAAGAAACAAAACAGACATATTTTATATGACATTGATTAAAATCTTAATCATAGGAAAACACGTGAATTTACTGCCTTCTTGATAATTATTCTAGAATTAGCTAAAATCGATTTTCAAAATGAGAATTACAGTGCAGTTTGAAACTAATAAAAATATTCCCGAAAGATTTCTGTTTCGAAACTGTGTTGTTTAAAATATTTCTTGATTCATCTTGGTATCTATGTAGTCTTCATACGCATTTTATTTGATATAAAAAAAGTTATTTATTAAAAAAAGATGCAAGTTTTTTTTAAAAGACCTGATTGTTTATGTTTGAATTAATCTTCTTACCTTGTGATTTCTGTGTTGAACCTTCAAGTACAGGCTCCAATAATAAAAATGTTTCTAATTAAATGTACATATAATTATGCATGTTTAACCAAGAAGTACAAAGTACAAGGAGGATTTAAAGCAGTGTATGCAGTTTCAAAGTGTAGCAAAGTGTTTTTTTCCTTTGTAACAAAAGTACATGGATTTTAATTGCGACAATTACTTGAACAAAAAGCTTTACGTGACATCGTATATATTTTCTTTTTCATTTATAAGGTCTTTATTAATGATTTGGAAACAGCATTCTGTAACACAACTGCATTTTATACAATTTGATAATATGTGATAAAATGTCTTTGTTTATCCTCCCACAATTGTTGTGTAAATTTTGAAAAAAAATGACAGTAGAATCAGTGTTTGTCTTGTAACGCTACCAAGAAATCTGTCAAAGTTTTAGATTTTTTTATTTCAAAATACCATGAACACATGTTAACGACTTTGTCATTTGAGACAATTTCCTCACGGTATATCTTGGGTCTTTCTATAAGATTTGGTGGATTTTTACGATGTAATTATTGGTTGTAATTTTTGCAGGGCGAGCTTATCGAGCAGCATACACGAGGTATTCGTAACCTGTTTTAAATTTAGCAACACACCTGCAAACAGACCTAGGAAACAGTTGACTATTCCAATAGTTTTTACAGACCTCACGATGAATATCTAACTAACAAAATATTCATACCTCAGTAGGACATCAATACCTTACCATTTCATAAAATATTACTATCGACTTTATTGACCCGCCCATTGCTCGCACAAAATGAAAGCTCAGAGAGAGAGAGAGCACCCGCGTTTACCAACTTGTGGGGAACTCACACCTGACAAAGGACCTTTCTTATGGGGAAAGTTGAGAATTGTGGGGAAATCTCTCGTTCCCCACAAATATGGTCATGGGTATTTTTGGATTCTACGTAGTTTACTGATAAAATGTAATCGATTTGTTTTCATTTTCGAAAAAAATCCCCATAAGTCGGCAAAATTAACCCACATTCTGTGTTCTCACTGCACCGTAAAACGAATGTCTGGGGATGCTGGGAAATGTTCATTCGGAATGCAGCGGGGTTTAAACTGGTCCCCCTAACATCGTAAACTTTCAAAGGCTAACAAGGAGCGGAAAACCAACTTATTGCGGGTAATGGCGGCTCCGAGGTGAAAGTCATGTGGTAAGTAGTTAGATTTTTTATTATTGATTAGACTTACAACACCCTGCTTAGCTTTAGACACGTAAATCATGCGTGAAGTAATGCATATAGTAGTACATGAAGTTCGTAGTAGAAAAGTAACATTTAAAACCATGTAGTGTAACGTGAAACTTTGGCCCACTTCAGACAGTGTCAGAGTCGTCGATTTTATTTAATAATGGTAACTGTTAATCTAATCCTGTTAAAAAAAAAAATAAGAATTTATATTCAATACTTTACCCCCGGGATCTGATAGGCGTTGGAAGGTTGTTCCTTTTTTTTTTTTTTTTTTTTTTTTTTGCAAATCATATGCCCATGTAGAAATATGTTTGATGGTGCGACCGTTAAGCAGGTCCAGCACAATCAGTACATTTAGCTACGTAGCTAAAATTACCAAGCGTAGCTTTATTTACCTACCTCAGGTAGCTTTATTCAGCTATTTCAAGGAAACTTCACAATTTTGCTTTTTATTTTAAAAAGACAAAAAACGGCAAGTAAATTTCTACTAATATTCATTCTAGGTATTATTTAAAAAGCAATCTAAAGCAGAGATAGCTTTAACATTGCTGCATTTGAACACTTTTAAGAAAAATATGTATTTCCATTGTTTGAGTAACTGTGCACCACCTTGTGTGCGATGAGGTGTGGATAAGTATGATTACTTCACATTGTGCTCATGTTAACCAAAACTGGTTTTCTTTGTTATTTCACTCAAGAAGTAACTGTTAGGTCACAAATTAACTGTTGTTTATAGCCCCAAAACTTTTAGAACTTTGATTGCAATTGCGCAGAAAAAGACACATCTCCATACTTGCCAACCTCAAACATGTAAAAATCTGGTCATGACCAGATTTGGAAAGTAAAAAATCTGGTCATATAATGCGTAACGACATTCATGACACATATACCATGATTAAATTAAATATATATGCATATATAAGCATTTGTGTATTGAGAATTATTTTATTAAAATGTGGCTTTAACTTAGAATGACAAAAAAATTTATATATATTGATTAAATTTACATGTTAGAAGAGCATTTAAGGTTTCATTATTCAGTATATTGACCTGAATTAAGTGTGCATATTTTTTAAAGGAAAGTCTTTTCAGAATCTGCATTGCTGATTTGAAGTACATGGAAAGTTAAATGTGCTAAATTTGAAAGTATTCCAATTTTGATTTTGAAGTTATTCTTCCTCGAATTAATTTAATTAACAAGTGCTATTAAATTTACAGTTATGTCTACACCATCTTCAAACACTTTATTTTATCTACTGAAAGTTGTTTTCCAAGATTCCTTGATATGTACATAAATATCGTTTCTCTTTTACTTGGTTCAATTTTCAATTTGTTCCTGCTGGCCCTGATAATGACCTCGTTCTATCGGAAGCCATTTTAAATTGACTTCAAACTTTGATTTTTCAAAACAACTCTCAGGTAAATGTTTACACCTGCACTGATAATTCACTGGTACACGGCCTACTGAACATAGCCATCGGCATTGTTTACGTACTATATCCAAGCTTGGGTTGTAACTGGAAGTTAGAAGTGCAACCTAATTTATGAACCAAATATGGAAATCAGGAGATTTTCGGGTTGTTCGGCAAAAATCGGGTGAAAAGCATGACCCGCCGTGTCATAAAAAATAATCGGGTTAAGGGTCGAAAAATCGGGTGTAACCCAACAAAATCGGGTGAGTTGGCACATTTCCAAGAGTCCGAAGGACCCGCAACTTTCACTTCAAAGTGCCAAGTGCATGGCAAAGGAGCAGTTGCTAGTCATTTTTTATCGAGTTACGTCAGTCGTGGCTGAGATTCGAACTCACGACCTCCCGATCACGGAGCATGCACTCTACCGACTGAGCTACCTTGAACAGTCTAAAGCTAAGAGAAAATAAGCCTTTGGGAATTTTAGTTCAAGAGATGACATACATTTCCTATTATAGAATTTTTGCTGTCTAATAATCATATTCTGGATGAAAGAATACCCAATTGAAAGATATTATTAATCACATATTACTTGAGATTCTGCCCAGAAACCTATAAAATCTAATTATTATCCAGATTCAATAAAAGGTGGTGCAATTGATATGATATATTCCATGAAAAGATATAAGTTTACCAGTACTAGTATTCAGGTGTGAAAAAAAAAAATAGTCGATTGATAAATCTGTCTTTAATTTACTTGCTCTACCATGTCTACCAGTTGCAAAGTGTAGCAAGCTAAGTGGTAGAGCTTGTCGAAGCCACAAGCAGTTGGGGCATGGACCTCCTCCCCCCTTTTCCATTTTTTTTTCTTGATAAATCTGGGTTGACATCTTTTTCATATTTTTGTATTCTAACATGTTATTGATAAATGTAACTCTTTTGTCTCAATAAGCTGTTTTTAAATATCTTGTTTTCTACTGATACATAAAAAGAAAGAAAAAATTTAATATTCACTTTTATTTACAGATTGTGCCCTCCATAACTTACATGTATCTATATAAAGGTACAAGTTTATAAAATTTTCTTAGCTCTTGAAGATCCCTGTTTTCTATTTGTTGTTGGGAGTTTGTTGTTACTAATTTATAAAGGAAAAAAGTTATCGGGAAACAGAGCAAAAAAAGTATTGATTTCTCAGAAAAAGGTGGGGGGCAGCCCCCTTGCCCCCTTCCACTCACATCATGTGTTTATGTACAAATGTATAACTTGTACAAATAAGAACAAAATTTGATTATCAAGTGCAGTAAAATATACTCGAATGTATCATTCAAATTACTCTTTTGACATGTTCCCTTAAGTGTAAAGTCTGCAGTTCTAAGTCTGCATGTTGTCAGGTGTCTTATTTGATTCCGAAAATGTTCAAGAGTGGGAAAGGGTGCTATACCTCTTTGCATACTTCATAAAACAAGCGCCTATGAAAAGCACTACAGTAAAGCACAAACATGTATAATGAATTGACGCTTACAATCCCAGTGACTTTAAAATATATTATAAACTTCATACATATATGTAAAATAAATTATAACAAAGCATACTCATCTGTTTCTTACACTTCAATCAATATACATGTAAGCATGCTTCACTTTAGTTATAAATTTGCATCTAAAAAAGGTATTTCCCCTTCAGAACAAGTTATAAAAAAGCTTAAAGTCAGCATGATGATAAATCACTTATGGAACATTGATAAATAATTAAGGATTTAAGATATTTATTTTTTTATATACATGTGTTAGTATGGTAGTGTATGATACACAGCTTCTTTAATACTGGCTTGGGCTGGTGGGTTAAACATGTACCTCAATTGCAAGGACTAACCTAGGGGGCGACTGAGGCGAAATAGTCGCTTTTGAGCTCCAAACTTCGCCTGATTTCTGCTTTTTCCTAGACATAGTGCTCAGGTGAGCGATGTGGCCCCTGGGCCTCTTGTTTTTAAAAAAGTTTAATAATGATCAATGTGTGCCATCCGCGTCAAGAAGTCTCCCTAGAATTTAAAACTTCTCCCTTATACATTTCTCTGAGGGACAAGTGAAGTCTCCCTAAATTTTGGGTCTAGGTTGGTCCCTGAATTGATAGAACATTGGACTGACATGCCAGAGATGGGTTCAAATTCAGTCATTCAAAGACACAAAATTGTCTCTAGACTAGTAGTGTTATGATCTTATATATAAATATTGCTTTTTTAAAGGGTAGAGGTGGGATGATATACTGAAAAACCAATACATACCAATATTTTCTGCTAAGATACGGTTTATGATATATGCATTGAAATATCAGTACGAAACGATACATGAACAACCTATCAAAAAGTTGAAAATGGCCGCTTTTACCAAGTGAAGAGATGATATTGGTATTGTAAATGCTC